AACTTAGCCAAGAATCTGGGCCTCCGAGCTAACCTGAGGGCAGACAAGTTGTTAAAAGCCTTGAAATCCCACCTTAAACACGAGGTAAAAAAAGAAAATGATAATCGGGATGGAAGTCAAACTTCTGCATCGTCTTGTGACGAGGCTGAGATGCAGAGTGGCAGCCAGGAGCAAGCTGAGAGGGAGCCGGCTGACCATGGCACCAAAACCAGGAGAAGGTGCAGGACGGTCCACAGGAACCCTGACTCCCAGCAGGATGATTCAGAGATAAAAATAAGTGATCACGCTGAATTGCAGAATCAAGAGAAGCAGGAAAACCAGGATCTCAGAACAGTTGCAGAAGTTCCTTCACCACCAGATGAAAGCCAAGGAGAGGAGAATGCCGTTTCCTCAGGAAAAAGAAGAATAAATGGTAATGAAGATTCAAAGGTACCTTCAGAAAGAAAGAAGCCTCTCTACACAGATGGGTTTTCCAAACCTGGAAAAAGCAAAAGAAATACAAGTACTACTCCAAACTTTAAGAAGCTTCATGAGGCTCGCTTTAAGGAAATGGAGTCCATTGATCAATATATTGAGAGAAAAAAGAAACATTTTGAAGAACACAATTCATTTAATGAACTGAAGAAGCAGCTGGTCACCAAGGGAGCGGTGGTGACTCCGGTTCCTCTCCGGGGAAGGCTCCGCGCGGCTTGCACCCCCACCAGCCAGCGCCACTTGCCGGGCCGGCCCCTGGGCGCTGCAGGCCAGAGCACCTTGTGTGGGAAGGGCTCCGCCAAGCGAGCCGTTCTCTCGGCTACTAAAATGAACGTCAGGTTTTCAGCTGCTACCAAAGATAATGAGCATAAGCGTTCACTGACCAAGACTCCAGCCAGAAAGTCTCCACATGTGATCATACCTGGGAGTACCCCAAAAGGCCAGGCTGTGCTCGGGACAGACAAGTTAAAGACCACAAATGGAAATTCTGTTTCTGTTGTTACCCCATTCAAACTGACAACTCAGGCAGCACAGACTCCAGTCTCCAACAAGAAGCCAGTGTTTGATCTCAAAGCAAGTCTGTCTCGTCCCCTCAACTATGAGCCACACAAAGGCAAGCTGAAACCATGGGGTCAATCTAAAGAAAATAATTCTCTGAAAGAGCACGTAAACAGAGTTAGCTTCCACAAGAAAACTTACAAACAACCTCCTCTCCAGACTAGGGAGGAACAACGGAAACAACATGAGCAAAGACGAAAGGAGAAGAAAGCAAAGGTTTTAGGAGCTCGAAGAGGCCTCATTATGGCTGAAGATTAATTTTTTAACATCCTGTAAATAGTATTTTATTCTGAACCCTTTCTTTATTGTAAATATTTTTCTGTCTTTCCCACTTTAGTCAAAAGACTTTTTTCTGCTCTTTGTTCACTATCTATGTAGTGTTGGTGGTTCTCTTCACATACTACATCCCTGAAAAGTTGTTACTGACCTTAAGGTTCACAAATTCTTTGAAATGGTTTTTACCTAAGTTTCTGTACAATTCAGTTTTCTAATGAGACTCATCCTATAGATTCTTGACCTAGATTTTTAATGTCAAGTTCCCTCTGCTGACAGAACTGGAATCCTCTTCCAGACAGAAGCATTTACCTGAGGGTAGGTAGTTGTACCACAACCTTTAGTAGAACCTAAACCACTAACAAGCTGAGAAAGCCACCTCATCCTTCTCCAGAGGATCGAGTCATCTTAATGAAACAGGGACCCAAACGGGTTGGTAACGGCAAAAATATTCTACCAATGTGAAGTGTTTTGTTACCTATGCACACTTGTTCCAATCACTTGATGGAAATGCTCTCTGTCACTCAATATATTCTTAAAAACTCTATAGCTCATTCTAGCCTTAAAAATATACCGGGCCATACTGAAATCTGAGGATTGCTGCTTCAAGGATTAATATGCTCTGTCAGAGTTACATCTTACTCACTTTATGGAAAAGACTAGAGTTGCTTAGCCTCACAGCCATGTTTGTTGCACCTAGGTAGAGCTTTGTACTGTTTAAGATTTTCATAAATGTTTTCTCATGGTGGTAGATTCTTTGTAAATAAATTTACTTCATGATTGAGTTAAAAAAAAAAAGAATTCCTCATATCAGTGAGATCATATGATACATGTTTCTCTGATTGACTTATTTCGCTTAGCATAATACCATCTAGTTCCATCCACGTCATTGCAAATGGCAAGATTTTGGGGTTTTTTGATGGCTGCATAACATTCCATTGTATATATATATATACCACATTTTCTTTATCCATTCATCTGTCAATGGACATCTTGGCTCTTTCCATAGTTTGGCTATTGTGGACATGTGCTTTAAGAATGATGTTCTATGCTGCCAAATGAAAACCCTAAAGTCTCCGTAGAAGCAAGAAGCCAAAAGATAGGCCACCTGACTTTAGGAAGCACATACTCCTAGCCTCCACAGTTTAGCTAGTTGTTACGGTTTTGCTTACAGATTAGATTGCTAGAATAGTTAGAAACATTCTGTCTGTTAAAGAATGTAGAACTTTGTTTCTGATGCATATTATCTGCTGCTGACTTTTAAAAGGAGAAAGCCATCACTGCTCCTTTGGCTGTAATTTTTATGGCTTTTTCTTATTTCTTGTAAAGAGTCATTTCTTCCTAAGATCTGTTTTTTTTCTCCTTTTACATCCCAAAGAATGGAATATCAAGTAACTTTGAAATTTATACTAGTGAATTGCAAAAGCCGGGCTAGATGTTGAAGAGACTTACGGAACAGAACAAAGTCATTACTGTACAGTTCTAAGTTTCTTTAGCCATCCATAGCTTTAATATATTGCTTCATTAAACAACATGATTTCAATTTATTATGCAAATATAACAATTATTCCAAATATAACAATTAGATTGCGCCCTTTGTTTCTGTGGCACAATAAGTAATGTTGAATGTTCCATTTTTGTTTTTTGATTTGCTTATTTTGCCTTTAATGACAACCCATTTAAAGTAAAAGTCTTTAAAATGGTAGAATAACGTGATAACATGTTTTCACTGGTAATTTAATACTTGGATGTAATGAGTTCATCTGAGAGATTTCATTAAAAACAGCAAGGTGCCTGAATACCAAAGCTGAGATGTTTTTAATCACAGAATTATAGTAATTATACAAATCCCAAGATTTTCATCAGACAGAACAGGCTTCCAGAGCTAAACATGCACTTTAAACTTAGTGCTAATAACTGTGTATTGTTCTAAATTATAGCAGAGAGACTCCTTGGGCCAAGGGGAATATTGGAATTGAATTTTTAAGGAAAATTGAGAAATAAACTATTTTGGTAATATAATGGTATCTGTAAGAGCCACATCACCAGGGTAATAGAAGAGGATCTTTCTCTGTGTGCATTAGACATAGCAGGTGCATATCAGATAAAGTCAATGAGCCCATTATGGTTGATTATATTTTCAGTGTAGAGAGAATGCTAGAAGGAACACCTTTTTCTTCTCCTAGAGGTCCTGAAGTTGCTAATTGACAGGAGTCCTCTTCCAGTCAGTAAATGGAACAGACCACCAGTAAATGAGATGATCATTGACCCAGAATCTGGATTTTCTGGTTTGGATGAAGACTCTGTAAAGAATAATTTAGTTATTGTGGGAATTATTTAAAATGTCAGATTTTTATAAAATGGTCAGGGCATGGTATCCTCAGGGAGCTTGCTTTTAAGAGAAGTTATATAAACAAAGATGCAGCTAGGAAGATTTTATAAAAAATCTCCCTAAGCAAGAAATTTTATTTGCTTTATTTTCCATTTATCGTTGTTTCTTTCTGTTTTCTGGCTCAGAAGGGTAGAGGGGAGACAAGGAAAGGGGATTGAGGGGGAAGGGAGAATACGGAAGGAGTGTTCTCTGAGGTGTCCGTAATGGGTGGAGGAGGAAGGAGGGGAGCGTGGGGCAAGTGAAGGAGGCAGGTTAGGTTGGCTTCTCTGGTGTTACAAGGGGTTTGGAGTTGAGGTGCTGAGCACGGATTTGAATGAAAGGCTCTGTGATCTGTCCGGGTATTCCTGATGATCAGTCAGGACACAAAACTCCTTCTAGAGGCTGGAGCAGAGACGTGCCTGGGCTTTGAGTCCTGACAAGACAAGTATTTCTGGTCTCTGTTCTCCCAACCCCATCCCTTTCTGTGGTAAACTCATCATCCCCGGTCTGCAAGCAGAGTTGGAGAGTTAGCTGCAGCAACTGTCCAGGACTCTGTCTTATTATGTTATCATCCACATTTACTCTTTACATATTTGAAGCTCCAGGGGCTTCCCCCACTTCTCATCAGAAATTTGAAGACCTGGGGCGCCTGGGTGGCTCAGCTGGTTAAGCGACTGCCTTCGGCTCAGGTCATGATCCTGGAGTCCCTGGATTGAGTCCCGTATTGGGCTCCCTGCTCAGCAGGGAATCTGCTTTGCCCTCTGACCCTCCCCCCTCTCATGTGCTCTCTCTCTCTCAAATAAATAAAATCTTTAAAAAAAAAAAAAAAAGAAATTTGAAGACCAGTCTGAGTCAGCTGTCAGCCCTGCCCTGGGTGAGTGCACACAGGTGAGTGCAGGTAGGCCTTACCTTCCACATCCACCACTGCTGAGCAGGCCCTGGCTGGAGAAGTCCCTTCCCACAGCTTCAGTTTCATTAAAGTTTTGCTTTTTCCCTTCTAACCATCTATACCATCTAACCATAATACGTACCCTTGTGGAAAAATTTATAAGATAAAGAAGAGTGTAGAGAAGCAGGAAAATCACCATTAAAATTCACATTTTGCCATATTTCCTTTGAATCTTTTTCCTGCATCCTTTGTATTTTCTGAGCACGGCTGTGCACATGCGTATTGGTATTCTGATTTAGAAACATGTGATGGTATTTAATCCCCTGTCATAAGCATTTTCTGTAAGCCTCATGGGACGCCTATTGAATATTGGTTGCCACGGTGAACGTAAGGGTATTATCGTCTTGATTAAGTGGTATTGCCGTTTGGTCTCTTCCCAGGTCCTTGCTTGTGGTCTGCTGCACATCTGGAGGCTATGATGAGAATGAATGTGAACGCTTGGAGGTTTTACCGAACTGGTTGCTCCTGCCTAGATCATCCTTTCCAAGTAGGAAAACTGCTCCACGTGGTGGTCGACTTCAAGGGACCAGAGCCATTGTAGAAAGAAATGGATGAAAGCAGCCTGGGGGGCCCCAGACACGTGCTCCTTGCGGTCTAGTCCAGGGAAGCCCTGCCGTGGGGCCCTGGCCTTCTGGAATGTGGCCGGGTGTGGACGCATGGCTGACTGCTGAGTGAGGATGCTCCGCCGGGGGCTGCTTGCGTGGGTCTCCCGGGTGGTGGTTTTGCTCGTGTTCCTCTGCTGCGCCATCTCTGTCCTCTACATGTTGGCCTGCACTCCGAAAGGTGACGAGGAGCAGCTGGGGCTGCCCAGGGCCAGCGGCCCTACGGGGAAGGAGGGCTTCCAGGCGGCGCTGCAGGAGTGGGAGGAGCAGCACCGCGACTACATAGGCAGCCTCAAAAGGCAGATTGCGCAGCTCAAGCAGGAGCTGCAGGAGAGGAGCGAGCGGCTCAAGGCCGCGCAGTATCACCCCAGCGACGCCGCGGGCCTGGGGCTGGAGCAAGGGCCCCCCGAGAAAACCCAGGCGGACCTGCTGGCCTTCCTGCGCTCCCAGGTGGACAAGGCGGAGGTGCACGCCGGCGTCAAGCTGGCCACGGAGTACGCCGCCGTGCCTTTCGATAGTTTCACGCTGCAGAAGGTGTACCAGCTGGAGACCGGCCTGACTCGCCACCCCGAAGAGAAACCCGTGAGGAAGGACAAGCGGGATGAGTTGGTGGAAGCTGTCGAGTCGGCCTTGGAGACCCTGAACAGCCCTGGGGAGGGCAGCCCAAATCAGCGCCTGTATTCGGCCTCGGATTTCATAGAAGGTTGGCAAGTTTGTGGATTGGGGTGGAAGGCGGAAGGAAGGGCAGCTGGGTCCAGGCACCCAGGCAGGTCACGGTTGCAACAGGCTGGCAGCTGGCTTTGGGCATGGCTGGTAGAAAGTGTCATGTGAGCGACAGCAAGGGTATATAGCATGGATTTTTATTTCTCAGAAATATCCGTTCTACTTACTTTCTCATGAAAATCACACTTACTGAGGGGACAGGGTTCATTGCTCCCTGGCAGAGGAAGGCAGAAGTTCTTGCTTTCATTAAAAAAAGAAATAAAATAAAGCAAAACATAAACAAAAAACATTGAAACTCAAATCGAGGATGATAGGCAGTTTTAATGGATCTCTTCCCTGGGGCCTTCTCCTAGAGATCGGGCCTTGTTATCAGGCCCATGAACAGGAGAGTGATTGCAAACATGTGGTCTACAGCGCTTACCATTTGCCGGACACTCTTCGAGAGGAACTTTATACTTACTGATTCTCTTTTTCTCCTTAATGACCCTATTAGGAGGATGAGGAAACCGAGGTTTAGGTTAATTAAGTACATGACCTCAGGTTGCTCAGTTAGCAAGTGACAGAGCCAGGATTTGAACCTGGGAAGTCTGATTCCAGAGTCCACATCCTTAACCACTAGGTTATATTGTACAGACCACCAGAGCGCATGAACACTAGTGAGATGAACGGCTCAGCTTTTTTCATGGGCACAGAGCAGCCTACTATTAGTCTGTGTTTGTGTCTAATTTTAGAAGAAAGCAGCCTTGTCTCCTTTCTTGGAAGATTCATTAATATCTTCTTACCGGCTTTCCCTTGTTACTGGGGCAAAAATCAACTAATAATTTGGGAGAGGAATTAACTTTCAAGGTCAGCCAGCTCTTCCGCCTGTTTCTGGAAAGAATCTACTTCAACTTCCTAGACGTGTGGCTGCATCCTTGTCACCCTGCTCCCAACTTCGGTTATATAACCGCCCTCTCATCAGCCTACAGGCAAGACGGACTCTCTTTAGTCATATCGAAAAGCCCGTTGCTGCTATTTATGCCTCTTCTCTTTGGACACTTCCCCATCTTATGATTTTTTTCCACTTTATATGTGAACCATACATCTGTGCAATTTTGGTAGAGAATTATTTTTCATATACCTCTAGCCAGGTAAAGAAATCTTTTACAAGATCAAGCTTTTGGTTGTCAGGATTTTTTTGTTGTTGTTGTTCCTCATCTATATGAGGTATTAAAGATGCCTGGCACATTTGGCAGCTAGCAAGTATAAGCACATGGTTAGTAAGAGTTTGAAATATCATGATGTTGTGGCATCACATTTTATCGTGCTTTGGAGTTTATGAAACCTTTCTGCATATAGTACCTTACTAGTTGACCCCCAGGGAAAGCCATTAAACATCCTTAAAAAACGAATCCTGGTTGCCACTCACCCTGGATATGCTACAGGAACTGCCCCCACACAAAGCAGTTTCAAAAGAACTTGATTACAAATCAATGCCTGCAATTTGGAATGTTTGCCCTTGTGACTTTTCATCTGCATTCATATTTGAAACCTCTGTCTACTTTTCTGCATACAGTATCTTAATACACAAGGCCTGTTCTCGCTCAGCAGTGACACAGGCCTTTGGTGCCTGAGTTTCTTTGCTCTGAGATATGGCTGACTTTCTGTCAGAGATGCTGTTCTCCTAGCTACCCAGTGTTGCTTCCGTGTGTGGCACATAGCCTCTGTTGGAAGGCAGATCCATCCACATGTGTCTTCCAGATTCAGTGAAAGTCTAGTCAGCTATTTACCTAAGATGACAACAGATCTACAGAACCCAGAATGAGTATGGGGATTCTTTGTTTCAAGAAATAATAATAAAAGCACATGGAATGCTTCCAGATGACAATAGTTATGCAAAGCTTAAAGCTGACTGTGAGGCAGGTGGCACGATGACATGAGCACGGGGAGCTGTGTGACTTTGACCAAGACCCTTAAGCCCCATTGAGACTCAGTTTCCTCATCTGTCCTTACAGACTTGACTTAATGTCCCCCCAGTCCCTACCCGCACCAACCCTCTGCAAAACGCAAAGCACGGCTTCAACTTCTTTTCTTTTTAGCTTTGCCAAGCAGACTGTCCCTGAAGAGTAGTCTGCCACCCACTCTGCTGGGTGACCAGGACATGCCACCAGCCCTTTGGGATCTTCCTCTATAAAAGGAGGAATTCAGGTATTTTATCAGGTGTGGACTGACTGTGGCCACTTCCTGGGGTGGTGTGAAGCTTGCAGAGGGAGAACACCACACTGATGATGATCTGTTACCTATATTGATGTAATTATTTTCTGTCTCTGAAACAGAGGGAACGGTATGTGGCTCCCTCTTCCCTTTCCTCCATGTTTTGTTGGCATTGATTTTTGCGTTGGCTTCTTACATAAGAGCATGATTTTTTTTTTTAACAACTATCTGGAAAAAGAAGTTAGAGTAGAAAAATGTGATCAAATCCTGTGCCTTAGGATGCCTAAATGTTTATCTCCTCAAGCGAACAGAAAATCTTTATGTTTGTGGTTTAGCTATTCCTTCAGTATTTAACTCTGAGTGGCGTAACTTCTGGCTTTGGTTTCCTATTTTTCAGTAGACTCTTGGACATAAATTTGACATAGTTCCATAAAACAATTTAGCCTTCCAAACCATTCCCCTTTTACAATCCAAGCATCTGAGAATATGAATCTCTCTGAGGCGTTTGTGTCTACTCTCTCCATGGGGTTGCACCTCTGCTGCCCTCCTCCAGCTTCTGCAGCTTAGTGGTAGCCCGAGTGGGTCAGATACTAACAGAGTGGGTTTGGGGCCGGGGGGGAGCCAAACCATGATCCACGAGAAAGTAAAGGCTTTGAGGGCACCCTGAGATGCATTTAAAGCCAGGGGCATGGAAATCATTATAAAACCTTAGTAGCTTTTCTACCATAAATACTGACCTTCTGTGCTCAATGACCAACACCCCGTACTTTCTGGGGAAGAAAGCTAAGGCAAGGAGTGAAGATAGAGTTTTTGATTTCCATTGTTTGTGTCTCACCGTGACCTCTAAGGGACACCCTGTGACCCCTTTGCTAAAGCTGTTTTGGACAAGTCAAATCCATTTCCAGGTCCTGGGTACATTGAGAGCAAGGGGCTTGGGGCGGTGAGGACAGGAAGCGGGCTCTTTGCTCAGTACGCGTTTAGGTGATAGGCTTCTTTGTCAGCAACTTTGTGACTAGGGGTAGAAAAGGGAAGGCAGGCGTTCGGATGCAATTCGGGCCATTTCTGGGGATCATGGTGCAGAACTAGGGGAGAGCTGGGGTGGGCGTGGGAGGGGGATTCTGCACAGTGGGTGGGTCTAACCTGTTTCGGGTTGTGGGGAGAGGTGTTGGCAGGTGGGAAAGCAGAAGGACTTCAGGTCCTGAGTTGGGCCTTGGTTCTCGGCCGGCATCTTCAGGGCAGTGAGGGCATTCGAGCTCAGGACAGCCCTTCTGACCGTCTCTCACCTACTGTGCGCTGGAGCAACCTTGTTGGCTCACTTCTAAGTTCTGAGTAGGCCGACAGGATACTGGGGTCCCTGTCCTTTCTGTCCCACTTCCTACCTCAGATCTCCGCCTTTGTTTGCTGATGCCTTAATGTCCTTTAAGGAGGGAGAAGTGCTTTTTATTCTGAAATCAGAGATAAAAAGGCTTAAGTGCGCATAAATGGTTTGAGGCTACACTTTGAAGAGGAAATTCTCCCTGTGGTGATGCTGGGAGAGAAGGTGGCCCAGCTTGGGGTTCGGCCAGTGGGCAGGACTCCAGCCCTCCACCAGGACAAGTGGAAGAGCCCCATCCTAGAGTAAACGCTCTGCAGTCGTAGAAGAGTTTGAAATTCTTAATAATTTTGAAATGGGACCTTATGTTTTCATTTTGCACAGAGCCCTACAAACTAGGTAGCAACCCACCTGCAAAGCTGAGAGGACAGGAGGGAAAGGTGAAGAAAGAGGGGGGCAAAATGAGGGGGTGAGCTGTGCAGTCCGGTGCTTTTGCTGAGGGTCAGCTCTGTTGACCTTTGGCGTGCTGAGACAAATGGAACCTGTGTTTGACATACATCCTATGTGTACAGGGTATTTTGTCACAAAACTGCAGAAGCTGGCAAATCTGACTTTCTGGTGTATTTTCCTTGTGCTTGTGCAAAGCAATTTTGTTCCCAGGGATTTTTTTCAAAAATTGAGGTTGTCACTGTTCTCCTGCCTTGTTTCCTGTTAAGAACCGGCTACAAGAGCACTTGTGAAAGTGGGGCATGTCCAGGATGGACGAACTTGGCCTTAGGGGAGGCAGGGAGCGAAGGCTCAATGGAGAGAGGGTTTGAACTGGGGCCTCACACCAAGTGGAAGGATGTGTGCAGTGGAGGGGAGGGGGAGACCCAGGAAAGGAGCCCCTTCATGGGAATGTATGGCCAGGGCTGTTGCTCAGACTTCGGTCCACCCAGCCCCTTCGGGAAGGAAGTGGTGTTTACAGAAAGGACCTGTAGTTTTTTAACCAGACCCCTAATTTATCCCCTCTTAGAGTCGTGAGTGAGGTCTTGCACCAATGCGTAACTAACGTGCATGGATAGGACACCTGTTATTTGTGCAGGATGTCCCCAGCTGTTTTGGGGGCTGGGAAAGGAGGCTAAAGCTAGGTCTCAGTCTTGAAGGACCTGATTATGTAGATGGGGAGGCACACCTCTGAGAGACTGAGGGTTCAGTGGTGGGTACCCTTTGTGCTGGGGTCTTCAGAATTGGTGGCTGGGTGTAAGCCAGATGGTCAGGGAAGATGTCAGAGGAGGCTGGATCTGAGTTGGTCTCTAAAGCTGAGAAGGGGTTACTGGAGAGGGAATGAGGCAGCAAGGGGAGGGGTACCAGAAAGCCGACTGACTCCAGAATAGGATTGGGGTATAGGCTTAGCGTGGAGACCAGCCTGGTCATCATGCAGGATCTGAGAGTCACTAGGAGTGGACTTCACAAGGGCCCTGAGGGCTGGGCAT